TTGGCTTGAGCGAGCTTTCCTTCGTTCGAGCGAGCGAGGACTATGTTTTAGGTTTCTTCACTCGAGCGTGCTTCTGGGTTACAGACCTGAAGCTTCGAATTGTTGGCTCGAGCAAGGCTTTCTATGCTTGAGCGAGGTATCTTTGTGTCTGGTCGCTCGAGCGACCACTCCTTCGCTCAAGCAAGCCTCTATTATATCAGTACACAGTAGCCGTCCCCTTCATCATTTTTGATACACTTTTCATCTCAAAACCCTAGATTTGGCTCTCTCTCTCTCTACACTTACCTTCTCTCTAGGGTTTCATCTATTTCTAGTGTGTTCCTACCCTAATCTCTTTGCAAGAAAGGTAAAGGGTCGTGTGGACTACATTTTAATCTGAAAAGTTGTGGATTTGGAACACTTTGGGTTTTTACCATCTTCTCCTTTGGGCTTCTAATTTCGAGGTAGGGATAACCTACTCCATTTTATGAGTTTTGACATAAGTTTTATGCATTTTGATTAGTTGGTGTAGTTTGGTAATTTTGGGAAAAGCTAGGGTTTAGTTTGTAATTTATAAAAGAGGGGTTTTGTGTTTTAAAGCCTCATGTGTATTTAAAGCCTTGGAAATGTGGGCTTGAGAGTTGAATTGATGGAATTTGGTCTTAGGATCAATATTTGAGGAAAGGGGTAAATGCCCTAATTGTTGTAATAAATTAATTTGTTTAATTAATTTGGGAAAATGAGAAATTGAGTTGAGATCCATGAAATTGAGAAATTATAGGATTGAATGGTGTAGTTGGATTAATTTATCACTCACCTATGAAAATGTTGAGATTATATCTGTTTGGTGCATTTATTATCTGTTTAGAAATAACTGCTTTGGACTATCGGTGGAGGATAATCTTGATTGTTGTAGACACTGTATGTTGATTAGGGAAAACTGAAACTAATCAAACGTGTTATGTCATTGTATATGACGATTGGAATAATACATCAAATACGTGTATTAATTGATTATTGCATATGACAAGTGTTCTATTACATTGTATATGCATATTATTTGGGAAGAGATAGGGGATGTACTCCATGATTTGAGGGGAGATAGGGGATGGACTCTCAAACTTGTTTTGGGAGAAGATAGGGGATGAACTCCATTGATACAACAAATATGTGTATCACTTGAAGTATGGAAGTGTTTTAATATGAGCTTTAGTCTCATTTGAATTATTGATATTGGAAGTATTTTTATATGAGTTGTTGTCTCATGAAAATTGTTTGGCCAGGTTCTGAGCCATGTTTGTGTAAATGGAAAATTGGACAAGTAAAGGAAAGTGGGACGTAACATGGACTTGATTGTCATGGAACTGTATTGTGATATAAATTGGATTATAAGTGTTAATCATCTATCAAATGATATTGTTTTAGTCATTGCTTATATCTGGTTTAGTATATCTCTACTGGGCTGTGGCTCACCCTATATGAGATATCATTTTCAAGTTCAGGTGATATGCTACCTCCAAGGACATAGCTTGGGAGGTTCTGGGAGTTGAAGACTCTCTTTAGTTATTTTGGTTATTTTGATATTACATGTAAATTCAAGCCAAGGGCTTCAAGTGTATTTGAGTTAGTACTCTCTTTTGTACCCAAGTGTTGACTTAGAAAGTTGTAAGCTCATAAGGCATTTCCTTTTGTTGTCAACATGTAATACTTTTGTACTTAACTACTCTGATGAATGAAAAGATGTTTATTTCTCTTATATCTATGCATGTCAAAAATATTGGGTTTTATGTATTATTTTGAGGACGTTACAACCATACTTTGTATGTTTTTCCATCAATAAAGCTTTCTTTTTGCTGATCCAAAAAAAAAAATCATATATATTTCAAATGAAAATTTTCGTTAACTTTTTTACGTAGATAAATGGAATGATGATATTACAACTTAACTTAAAAATGTAAAGAATTGACTATTATAATTGAAAGTAAATGAATAAAAGTTAGATTTTGGTAAAAGTGCAACAATACTAAATATAATTACCCCTATATAAATTTTTTATTTTTATTTTTGTTAAAAACTTAAATATATATATTTTTTTGTCAAAACAAATGAAACATAAATTTTATGTATAGTTTTTTCCTTTTTCACTTTTTATAATTTATACCTTTATATTAAGTAAAGACTAAATTTGGTGTCAAAGCCTTTGCTTGCTTCTCATTATGTCACGTGTCTTTTATTTTTTTCTTGAAAATAAATAAATAAATAAACGGAATGAATAAGACTTAAATCTTGGAATTTAAGTTTACTAATATACAATAAGTATTTTTTATTTATTTATTTAAGTTATACACGTAAATGTGTGGCAACTGCTAAGAGTAACTCCAATCATATTCTTCATTTTTCACTAGTTAAAATATAAAAAAATGTAATTCTTTATTTTGCCTTTTTTTTATTTATTTATACACGCCAACATTACTCTTTATTTTACTTATCTATAAACACAAACTAGTTAAAGAGTCTCCCAAAACTCTTCAAATGTAACTAGCCTTAAATAATTTTGCTAAAATAACTATTATAATAGTGGCCTCCCAAGTCTCTTCAAATGTAATTAACCTTAAATAATTTTGTTAAAATAACTATTATAATAGTTTAATCCATTGGAGTAAGTAAACGGAAAATTTGACCATAAATCCTTCTTATCTTCTTTTTTATTGTTAAAAGGGCCAAAAAATAAAAATTATATTTTCAAAACTCTCTCATAATTATAAAGTCTTATATAAAGGACAAAAAATTTCAGATTTACATTTTGTGTGACAAATTTGCCCCTTCATACACACACACTCTCTATCTTTCTCCTTTTTCTCTCTATCAGATTGTCATCTCTCTCTCAGCTCTTTCTTTCTCTATCTCTTTCTAAGAGCTCTCTTTACCACCACCATTATCATCATCTCTACTATCACGACTATCATGATTACCATCGTTTCCATCACCTCCGCCATCTCCACCAACACCGTCTTAACCATAGGTGTTGTTTGTCACCGCTACCACCACCACTGTTTCACAACTACCATCTCAACCACCAGTGTCATTCGATGACATTATACCATAGGCAACCACCATCGTTATCCTTAACCTCCAAGACCTCAGATTTGAAATCTATCATCTCAGATCTATATTCTCTCCCTCTCTTTCTCTTTATCTCCTCATGATGCTCTGTTTTTCAGATAGTAAAATTTTACTCTGGTTTGAACCAGATCTAAGACAATATAGTGTTCTCTCTATCTCTATCTCTCTATTTTTATTTTTATTTTTATTTTTAAGGCAATATGTGTGCTTAACAATATAAAATTTTACTTTAAATTATAATAAATTTTACTCTAATTCAGAGTAATAAAGTAAAATTTTATTTTGAATCAGAATAAAGTTTACTAAAATTTAAAGTAAAATTTTATTCTGAAATATATTGTGAGGATGACTTTATAGGAGAGCTGATACATACATTCTTACATAGGATGACTTTATAGGATGACTATGAGGATGGTATATTAAAAGAAATAAGTTTGAAATGATCTATATAATTCTTATTCTTTTGAAAGACAAATTAGACCGTGAGGGATCTATCATTAAATCTCCCTAAGTAAAATATGACAATACTAATTGTGGGTGTTTGGGAAGTGAGTTTTTTTGTAAATTTTTTTAGTTCTAGGATTTTATTGGAAAAAAAAAATTTCTATTTGGGAAGATAGTTGAGTTTTTTTGTGGTTGGATGTTATATTTATGGGAGAAAAAATGAAATGATTATGGAATTTGATGTGATATTTTGTTTAGATTTATTTTTTTTAATTTTGTAAAATATTTGTCTTGTAATGAAAAAAACAAAAAAAAAAAAAATCCAAAAACCAAGTTGCCAAATAGTTAGCATGCCTCATTTAAAGATTTCTTGAGAGATGCACTAATACCAACACGTTATCTGAAGGGTTGTTTGCCACCATCTAAAAAAGTATGCTTATGCTCTTTTTACATTTTTTTTAGTCACACCAATTCTTTATTTTTTAACATATTTTTTCGTAAAAAGTTATTAAAATAATCTATTCTCAAACAACTCCTAAAATTGTTGATGTAAAAGTCAAGTAACCTAGACTAAACCACCTAATTTTTTTTGGGTTGGTGATTATGTGGTAGAGATTAAATTTGTGTGAAGGATTTATATGTAGAATAAATCTGAACCATAAGACGATAATTTTTAATAATTTCTAAGTAGTTAACTCTGGGTTCATAGTATTGCTTATTGTTGATTATTATCAAGTTGATGCAAAATATCACATTGTACACAGATAGTTTTTTTTTTGGGATAAACTCCGCTTTATACCTCATCTCTCAATGCTTCTCCATACTTTTCTTGTAGGTTTCAATTTATATTCGCATCAATAATCTGAACTGTTTATCTCATAAGCCTTGCAATAAAGGTTATTCATGTAAAAAATCAGTTTTATTAGATAATTATAAATATGTAAAACAGTCATATTTTATTATATAAAATGAATTATTTAAATTTAATTATATTTAGTGTTGATTTATTAAAATAAAATATAATTTATTTTTATGTTTATAGTTATTTAATAAAATTAATTTTTTATATAAATAATTTTTATTGTAAGACCCAGGAAATAAAGGAGAATCCGAATTAAAATCTGCGTAGAACATACAAGAGATAGTGGGAGATGAGGTATTAAGCGAGCGAGCATATCCCGTTTTTCGTACGTGTCTCTGTAATAAAGTGAGTTTATTGGACATTTGGACTGTTTGGGAAGTAATTTTTTTTTATTTTTTTGGTTAAAATAATATTAAAAGATAAAAAAAATTAAAATAATTAATAAAATAAAATATTACATTAAATTTATATTTTTTTTTTTTTTATAAATATTACATATAACTATAAAAAAATTCAATTATCTTCTCAAATATAAAAATTTAAACCTTCTAAAATAATCAAAAACTAAAACAGAATATGTAACTCCTCAAAAACTCACATTGGTTGGTGTACCCTTGCATTCAAGTTTTTGGCTCTTTGGACGGAGAGAACGAGAGAGCGAAGAAGAATGGGTGCGATTCTGTCTAGTCTTCTGGGCGGAGGAGCTGCCACGGCCGAAGAATCATCTTCATCGTCGGAGCCATCTCGCGTCCTATCATTCCACTCATCCAACAGATGGCAACTTCACTTCAATTCCTCCAAACAAATCCCCAAATTGGTATTACCCATATCATATCTATATAAATTAGGGTTCCTATGTTGGAATCTTTATTGAATTTCAGCTTTCCAGATCTGATTCTTTTTGTTTGTGAAGATGGTGGTGGATTTCTCGGCATCGTGGTGTGGGCCCTGCAAGTTCATAGAGCCGGCAATTCACGCCATGGCCGCCAAGTTCACCGATGTCGAGTTCGTCAAAATCGATGTCGATGAATTATCGGTAAACTTCTCTTACTTTGATTTTCAGGGGTAATTGAGATTTTTATTTTTTATTTATTTATTTTTAAATTGCAAGTAAGTAGTAAGTTATAAACTTTATTTGTGCACATTAATAATTGCAAGTTACAAATTTTTTCATGAATCTGAAATATTTTTCTGATAGTAAGTAGCATGGTTAATTTTTTCATTAATCTTTGAACTGATCGATCGATCGATTGAATTTGGGGGTGGGGGAAATGATAGGATGTGGCGCAGGAGTTTGGGGTGCAGGGGATGCCGACGTTCGTGTTGCTGAAGCAAGGGAAGGAGGTTGGGAGGATCGTTGGGGCGAAGAAGGATGAGCTGGAGAAGATGGTTGAGAAGCACAGAGAGAAACCAAAGTTTGCTGCTTGATTGATTTGATTAGTAAACAATTCACTCATTATCCTTCTATGTTTCTTTTGCTTATTTATGCAGAGAATGAGAACCAATTGTGATGTTGATTGTGTTGAATGTGTCTGTTGTTTGGTAATTGGAAACTTGCAAACTCAATTTGCCTTCAATTGAAAATATGAATTTGCTTGCATTTACCTTCATTTGTGATTCATTTTTATGTTCTATGGTTATGTGGGTATAATCTAAAACCACATATACTTTATAGGAGAAATTAGATAAATGAAAGTGGTGATATATAGATTAAAATTTTAATGTAGGTTAAAGGAGATATGGTGATGTGGAACATTTCTAACGTTTACTCTCTCTTTTTTATTAAATTTGAGTAAAAATTTGAGAAAATGCTTCATCTAATATTGAGCATTCTAACGGAAAGTTTTCATTTTTCATCAAACCACCGGTTGATCGGGAAGATGTCTGGGCGGTCGATCGGTTAGTGTAAATTTACTAGAAGTCTGAAGCAAGGAAGAGGTTGTTCGGGAGAACAACCGGGAGGTTGTCCGGGAGGACAATCGGCTAGTCGTTCGATGTATGGTCTCAACGGCTATCTACCGTAATTTGATGAAAGGCTCTAAATATTCTCAATTTAATGATAAGTTTATGATATTCTGAATATGATATTGGTTTGATGTTAACGGTGGAACACTAAAACTGAACTTCTTTCATCAAATTTTGATGAAAGAAAAAAGTAAATGTTGGAGGCGCTCTCAGTTCATCGAGGAAGGAGAAATTCAAGATTTTCTGAGGATGCTTTTGAGAATTCTGTTAAAAGAATTTGCGGTGCCTTGTGTTGTGACAGTGAGTGAGGGAATCGAAACACTTATCATCCGTGGGGAGATGATTTGCAGGCAAGAAAGTACAACCCAAGTAATGCTGTTAGAAATTCAGGCGCCATTCGGTAACTCTCTTAAATTATAATTCTATCTATTGATTTTAGTGTAGTGTTTGTTTTGAATTTTTAAATCATAATTCTATACTCATTTCTCAAAACTTAATTCAAAACATAATCATTATTTTTCAAAACTCATAATCAAACGCATAATTTAAAACTCTTTTTAAAATTCAATTCAAATTAATATTTTAATTTTGTTAAGATTTAAAATATTTAAATATTTAAATATGTTACGATTTTTTTTTATTTTTTAATTTTTTGAATATTTTTAAATATTTTAATTTTTAAATATTACAATTTTAATTTTTTAAATTTTAAAATATTTTATAAAAATAAATTCAAACCCTATTTTATAAAAATATTTTTAAATATTTTAATTTTTTTGTTATGTATTTGGTTACGATTTGAATGTAGAGTTGTGAAAGTAGTATGGAGTTTCGACTTATGTGTTTGGTTATGAGTTTTAAAAATAATTTCTTAATTAAGTTTTGTTTTATGTGTTTGGTTACGATTTGAGTATAGAGTTGTTTTTAAATTTAAAATATTAAAATTTTAAATTATTTTAATTTTTTGAATATTTAAATTATTTAAATTTTTACGATTTAAAATTTTTGAATATTTATTTTAATTTTTTACTTATTAAATTTTTTAGATTATTTAAATTATTTAAATATTTATGATTTAAATTTTTTGAATATTTATTTTAATTTTTTACTTATTAAATTTTTTAGATTATTTAAATTATTTAAATATTTATGATTTTAATTTTTTGAATATTTATTTTGAAAAAAAATTATTTCCTTTGTAGTATTTTCAATTAAAAAATTGATTAATGTTATTTTCTGTTAATAATAAATTTTTTAATTGAATTTTAAAAAAAATTTGGTTATGAGTGTTGATCAGAATTTTTAATAGTGTGAAAGTAGTGTGTTTTGTTATGAGTTATAACAATTTGAAAACTCTTTCCAAAACTAATAACCAAACAAATTTTCTTACTTCACATGTCAAATCAAATTTTCAAAACTCAATTTAACACTCTATTCAAAAATCATAACCAAATAAACTTTCTACACTCAAATCATAATTTCAAAACACACAAATTCAAAATATAACTCATACTCTCAAATCATATTTACAAAACTTTACCAAACGCAACCTTAATCTTTTTGACAAGACTTTCTTACTGATATGAGTTGATTTATCATATTATTCGTGTGGATCTTGTTTTAAATTTTAAAGTTACATCTACAGATTTGTTGATGAAAAGATTTGTAAAATTTGTTAGTTTAGTATTTGTTCTTTCTTTTATAGGTTGAAGTAGTTCCCTGGCTAAAAGGAACTATCCAAACGTTACAAATGAAAGGCATCACAGCCTGACCAATAATTGTAACATAGCTTGTAAAAGCCATTTTAGCCAAGTAACCATATAACAAATTAGGGGCGTTCATGAATTGATTTGGTTCAGTTTAACACTAAATTTAGAACCAATTCAATCACAATCGGTTCAAGTTTTTGGATCCCAAACCAAATCATGCACTAGAATCAATCCAAACCATCTCAATGTAGCACGGGTTGGTTCGGGTTAGAATTACGGTTCTGCTATATTAAAAATAATTGAGTCAAATCAATAATAAATAATTAAAATAAACAAATCTTTATCATTTAAATATATCACAAACAAAGAATAAAATATTATTTAATAAAAGTCAATACAAATTAAATCAAACTCAAGCTTCAACATAACCAGCACATATTAAATCAACTGTGAAATCTAACTCAAACTTTTATTACTTCATTCGTTCACCTAATAATTCTTGTATAATGAAAGTTATTAGGTATAATCAAGTCCATTATAATAGATCAATTAGGTGAAAACAAGTCAATATAAATAAAATTTTAATATATATATATATATATATAAATAGATACGGTTCTCGGGTTGATTCTTGGTAATCCTATCGGTTTGATGGTTTGAAAACTTAAAACCAAACCAATGCACTCAAGAACCAAATCAACCCAATCCAAAGAGATCGATTTGGTTTGATTTTTTGGTTCACTAGGTAGTTTGAACACCCCTATAACAGATTTAGATTTAGGATAAAGTACCGGTGAGTCATACTTTTCCAAGGAAAAATTATAGTATATAGTCCTCCTAAGTCAATTCATGTGTTGCTCAAACTTGTATTTTATTTGGTTAGAATAGTAATATCTACCACTTTCGTGTTGATTTTTAAAAGACAACAAGACTAGTGTCATATATTGAATTGCGTGAAATATTACTCCAATTTCATGTTAATTTTTTAAAGACAACAAGGCAAGTGTCACATTAAATAGTGTGAAACATTGCTTCAAGATCACCAAGTAACCTTTCTTCCAAGTGCTATTTTTCTTCCTTATATTTCTCATTTACCTTTCTTGTATGCAAGTGTCATTGGTACAAGTTCAACATCTTTTTAATTCCAGCACACAAACATTTACTTAGGATTATGCATTTCAAGATATTTTAAACAAATTATTTACTATCTACAAAATATTTAATTGTAAACATATAACTGCAAAACTGCAAATACAGCACAAGCAAAAGAAAACTTCACATTATTTGTCTTGAAGAAATTGGGTAGGAAATACGTCCTTACAATGGCAAAATAGGACTGATTTGTAAGGCTATTTCATATAAAGTACTGCCTAATCACAGATGGACGATGGTTTCCAAGCCACAAACCAAAGTCCCCAACCCAGTCTCACAAGCAGCGAGGACTTGTTTGGGGAAGAAATCCAAGATTTAAGGGGGCAAAAAAAAAAATTCATTCACCATGCTCGGGAAAATGGCATATGGTTACAACACACATCAGCACAGAAACTAGTATGGGGTGTGCAAGCGATATTAATAATTAAAACATAAGGGCAGAGCAGCAAAATGAAAGTGCTGACATTTTAAGTCATTACGCAAATCAAAATAAAGTTGCAGCTTCTAGGTGATCAACAACAAAAATGGGATTCGAGTGGGGTTTTTATCTATTGGATCCCAAGCTAAAGATTTTGACACTATTATATATACCAAAAGGAAGTAAAATATAGATCTCCCTCAAACAGTGTATGCTTGTTGAATTGTGTCAATATCAAGCCCCTTCAACTTCACAACTGATTCAACATGGCCTTTCAGTGTATGCAGTTCTCTCAACCTGGAGAGAGAAAATATACACACCAGCTGTAAATAATCTGCTCCAAGTCATTTGTCTCTTGGACAACACATTAGAGACTAGAAGATTTCAAACAAGATTGATGTGTAATGAGTTACCTTGCAATCTCAGCTCGTCTTTTTGCCTCTTCAGCCATCTGATTAAGATCTGTGAAAGTACTGCGATCACTGAACAACACCTTGGACTCAGGAGGTTGCAGCCCATGGAGGGTCCTCTGCGCATGTGCCCATTTAAGCTCCCGTTCTTCCCTCCCAAAATCCTTTTTCCGTGTGAAAGCGGTCTGCAATATAAATAGTTTTACCACATAACAGTCAACCAAAAGTTTTACCACATAACAATCAACCAAGATATTTATTTGCTGAAACCACTTATTGAATAAATAAATATATATCATACCCTTTGCTCGATAACCAGATCCCAAGCTCTTCCACTTAAAGCATATCGGGTAGCGAACTTTATAAAATCAAGGGGGAAGTAGAATATGAGGTTATAAAGCCAGATCACCCCAGCCCAGCCCCATCCAATCCCTTCAATAGCAGCAAAACTCCAGTTTGCATAAACAGCGATCAATGTAGCAATCTGCTCATGAAAATAAAATTATATCCTAAAAGCTGCTTCTTCAAGTAATTAGGAGGCACTTGTATGGAGGGTGGAAATTGAAGAAAGGAAAAGAAAAAGCAAAGGAAAAGGAAAAGAAATCAGTTCACTTACCAACTGAGCAATAATAAAAGCCACCACAAGCAAAAGGCCAGGACGTTCAACAAAAGACCAACTCCTAGAACGTGTCACAAATATTAGAGCCTGACTGATGATGCTCACTTGAAGGTATATGGCTGATGCAAGCTTCCTGAAGTCATCATGAGCCGTTTTTTGGAGAGTTGGAACTCCAAATAAACGCTGCAAATTACACAAGGGAGAGGGAAAAAGAGGTGTTAAGACCAAGCAGTGTAGCTTAAGATTCATCGTATGTTTACAGAAAGGACACTGATAAATCAGTGGAAAGCAGAAGCATCCACTCAATAAAGAAGTAAAAATACATGAAACAGGAATAGTTAAAGTGCCTAACTTTGGAATGCATTGTCATAAATTTCACAAGATCAGGCTATTCCCCAAAATTTTGAATTTATCAACTGCATAGGCCATTACTGCCTAAAACAATATGCAAATTACAAGCATATAAACATAATAAATTCTTGAAAATTTCTCAACAATACAAACCATAAATCAAATTTAATAATCTACACTATTACGTTAAGCCAGGACCAGGTTTGGTCTCCTTCTTGAACTCTTTTATTTATTTATTTATTTATTTTTGAACAACTCCATCTTCATCTCTAACTCCCAAAATATCCTTTGTATTGTTGAAAAACTGCCAATTCATTTAAGCACTGAGGCCAAAAGAGAAATGATTGGGACAGTTATAGAATCTGGCAGAAAAGTTGTACGAAAGCAATCAAACGTGCAATGATCTAAGGAGCATAATAGTTATCAATCCAATGGAGTGCCAAGATAGATATGGTGAAGCTCAATTTTAGTAAAGATGAAAAATGCTATAATGAAGATGCCAACAAATAACAGCAAAGTTTATGTTAGTCTTACAGATGAGCTCAAAACAACAACGTACTCCATCAATTGAGAATGACTAGTCATGGTAGAGCCCTCAAACAAGGAATCATAGCCAACAACAATTCTGGATTTAGTGAAATGGTAGAGCAGAACCAATGCAGATGATCCCACAATGGCAGATCACAAAACCAATTGTATGATGATGACAAACACAAAGGAACTAGAAATGGGCTTACTTATTATGAATTAGAAGGAAGAAAAAATGTGAAATTCATTTGATATCTAATCTAGTTATAAGTGTATCTTACAGGAAAAATGTCTGTATCGTATGCCGCCCAAAAGAAAATGACAGTCATCATGGCCAAGTAACTGCCAAGAATGATTCCAGTAGCAAAAATCTCTAACAGCTTCCAGCTGTCTGGCTGAGGAGACGGTTTCACCCTATCTTTTGATATTGTCATAATGGTACCTGGCATGCCATAAAGGGAGTTAAGTATTGAGAACCACACACAAAAGCAGTATTTCAAGATAATGAAGAAAATGAGAAGAAATATGCATGCATGTGGTAACTGGAAAAGGGAATGTGTATTTAGTGTAACAAAATACAAACCATCATTAAGGATGGCAATGATCAGCACCATAAAGGGTGGGAAATCAAACTTCCATATGAGGGCGAGTAACATAAAACCAAGCTGTCAAAGCAGAGATAAAAGGGAAGTAAGTAAAAGGAAAACTACAAGCCATGAACAAGAGGATCCATCAAATACTTCATAATAATAATATTAAAAGTGAAAATTAAAATTTAAAAGAGGGTTTTCAATGGTCATCCCAAATTAAAAAACTTACCACAATACGGATTGTAATAGAAACAGCATATATCTGTACCAATAACACCCAAGATATAAATAAAATTAGTAACTTGAATAGTCCTAGCAGCAGTTGGCTAACAAAGATATGTTTGATACCTATGGCTCAATGCACACTAAAAGACAAATTTTAGGGTGCGTTTATAAAGAAGTGGAGTAGGAATAACATTTCACTTCTTTTCCTTTTTTTTCAAAAGAAAATAAAGTTAACAAATAAGACACACATCTCCTAGATAATAAAAGCTCTACCATTTCACCATTTGCCGCCCAGCTCGGTGTGTTACTTTGAATGAACCTGCTACAAAATAATGGCATTTATGAAAGACTATTGGTGTCACAATGATGTGCTGCATGGTTCCTTGCGTGGTTCTATTTCTTTCATGGCAGCACAAAGGTGGGATGTAATTGATTCCAGTAACCAAACAGTCTGTGTATCTGGATCTGTTGTCAGCTCTCAGTGATTTAATTTGCATTGGTAGACTGAAATGGTTCTGCCTCACATATTGCTTCTCAATCGTCTTTCTCCCAAGTACTTTGACTTGTCTTTGCGGATTTCAAGTGCGTGAAAGTTTCATGTTGGTCAGCATCTGTTGATCTCATATTTGTGCTCTGTACCAACAAATAAAACATGGCCAATCA